AATTACCAACATATAGAAATAATATTAACATATTTATATGAATTAGTTTCGATGAATAGAGTCCCGAATCACCTAAACTGACTAATATTCGGTACATTAAAACCGAAGTGACCCGAAGTCCTGTGATCAGTAATATTCATCCTGTGAATTTGAATATTTTCAGATAGAATATCAAATGTATATCAGATATTTGTTTGTATGGTTAGTACATTTGTTTAACAAAAAATAACCCATTGGAAACTTCCCATAAATTATGAAGGATGTCAGTGAATCTATACATCAAATGTATAGTACATAATCAAAGTAAAGAGTTCATATACATTTCATTGTCTCTATTACTGCTTCACAAATTTCTAGTAAATAACCTTTGAAACGTTTTCACATTTTCACAATTTCGATAAGACATCTTTTAAAGCAGAAACAGAAGTTAGAATTTATCATTATATTAAAGCTTAATTTTCTATAAAAGTTTTGATAGGAAATTGATTTTAAATTGAATTGATGGTAACCTGAACTTTTCTGATAGGTACTTATAAGTGAGTGTTTTGAAAAGAAATTGTATTTGCAAAGCATCCATTAGATATTTTTAGTGCGTGGTTAATGCGTGCCATATTATGTTAGCATCAAACTGCTTAAGTCATTGTTCATTACAATACACTGTTAAAAATTTTGTAATGAATTTTTTTTGTATAGTTTTATGAGAATTTGTGTAAACTATTTCATAGAATTTAGCATAAAACACTTCAATTGCAATTTTTCTTAAGTTTTTGATTAGATCGCATATTACTAGTTGAAATTAATATTACTTATATTGGTGAACTAAATTAACTACTAAATTAGAATTTTAAACTTAATTGTTTGAATTTTTCATCTGACAAATGTGCTAAAAATTATGTAGAAATTTATATAGGCAAAATTTCTCAACCTTTGATTTATACAACAATAATAATATACGGTTAAATTATTTAATGGCAATATATAATGTAGTATAAAAAAATTTTCATTGGAAGCTGTTAAATATTTATGCTATTGTTGAAAAATTTAAGCTCCTTAAATGTAATATGCCCATTAGTATATATTTAAATTTACTTTCACTTTTAATTTTGATTTTATTTATTTATGTGAAATTATCAAACTTATATTTTTTTATATTTTAACTTTAGACATTCGAAATACCGTTAACTATCATTAATTCTAATTCTGACATTTGTTTAAATATTTGTTTAAATAGCTGAGTTTATTCACTTGCTTAGACGTTTTATGGCATATATAATATATTTCCGATTTAGTTACAAGAATTACTTTGAAAGTTTATATATTTATATTTTAAGTAAAAATTATATAAATGTAGTTTAAATATTTTTTTTTTGCAAAGTTTGTATGACTTACTTACGAATAACTTTTGGATTCCGTAAACGGAGTCTTTCAATAATTAAATATATATTTATATCAATACTAATAACGATATTTATTAAAATTAATTACATATTGATAAGGCTCTTGAGTATATTTATATTTGATATAAAGATACAATAACACACCACCATTCGCAAAAACACACGCTTGCTGACTGTTATTTAAAGTACATGTAAAGTAATTTCGTAGTTAAAAATCTTTTTCTCCACACAAAATACAATTCTCAGTTGTGTAAATTCTCCACTGTTATATTCTCTTGTTTAAACGAACTTTACTCAGTGCCTGCTTAAATTTTAGATTTTAATATGGACATAAAGTTAATAAACAGAAATATTTATATATATATATATATATATATATTTTATGAAAAAAACAATTATGAAATATATATTTAAAAGATTTGGATTTTATTTTGAATTAATTTTAATTATTTACAAGTAATAACCCTAAAAGATATTTGATGCCTCAATGCTTAGTGGAATTTTGTTATAATATTTACATATTAAATATTTATTATTCTATAATTTAAAATAATTTAATTACAAATTGCATAAATACGTACTCAATTTTATAAGAGTTAATTTTTAAATTGGAAATAAAAATATTTGAATTTATGCTATATAAAACCAATAGTTGTAATTTGACATATTAATGTTAGAACATCAGCAAGTTGGACGTATACCATATTGACCTCACTAAAACTATACACACTTCTGCAAAAGGTACCAAACGGTAATATTATAAAATCTTACATACACATAACTACTTAACAGAATATGTAAAGATATATTTATTTCGCCCAATCAAATCGGTCATATTATTCCTAGAAATGTAATTAAGGCCATAATTAGCCAATAATTTTTAAAACCACCGCATAAAAACTTTTAAACTTATAAAAGCAACCAGAATTCTCTACATTAAGAATGACTATATTCGCTATTATATTCATAGTGACAAATTGAGATATGTATTCTTTTTACGTTAATGTGTAATGTTTTTTTTCTAAGTTTTTAAAACTGAAAGCATTTATGTTGATATTGTTTTATATTATTTGTGGTTATTTCAAAAACTTATATCTTAATAAGTAAAGTTTATTTGTATGGTGCTATCAACATGTTTCACAACAACCACTTGTTTTCTCCTAGAGTTGAATCGGTATTGAGTTTGAATACTTTACTCCGTTTTGGGTGTTAACATTTTTACTGTTTGCGCATGTTTTTCACCTTATCCAAAATACTCAGAAATAATTATGAATGAATTTGGAGAGACACGTGAGTTCTCTCATAGTATAAATAGTGATATCCTTTAATGTATTGTGTTTGAAGCTCAGTAACATAAATAAAATCCATTATGCGTATATATAGGGTGATTTGTTATGAGATGTAGGATGACAATTTCAAAAAAATCAAATGCTATTGAAGAAAATAGGTTAAATATGTTTCGATATAAAAATGTTATACATGTCCTACATTTTTGTAGATTGCCCCATTTTAATAAATTTTTCCAAATAATATTGAATATGAATTGTAAACTAATAAGTATGCTTATTATTTAGAATACTCACAAAAACTTTTAAATACCTCTTAAGGCGCATCCACACCAAAGCGAACGCTTGCGAACGAACGAACATTTCGAATTTTGTCTTGCGTGTTCGTACATATGTTTTCTCATGCGAATACGTCACATGTTGCGGTTATATTGTTTGCGAATTGACAGTTCTGTTTTGTTTGTTTTTAAAACAAAAAGTATAATGAAGATGAAATAAATTTAACGGAAAATTCGCCATCAAGTTATTTATTAATTTCAAATAACAAAAGATGAATTTGGGTGAGGCTTAAGCTGCTTTAATTTAACCAGCATACAAAGGCTGAATATACTTTATATAAAAGGTTAAATTTAATAAGATCTAGAATCGATGAATTTTGAAATTTGGGACTTCCATCTTTTATAATTTACTGCAAATGGCAACATTGTTAATTTTTTGGCGATATTTGGAAAAAATTAACAGTTAACAGTATAGCAGGTTTAAGTAATTAAAATTCAAGGCTGAATAATTGAGCTTTTATACTAGTGGAATCTAGTTTTACTTTATAGGAAAATAGTGCATTCGAGTATACGTGACAACGTGAAAATAAATCGTTGCGTAAGAACCTTTCAATTTTAGTTTCTTGACCCAAACATAGGTGAAATGTTATGATATATTAAGGTGCAATCACACCAAAGTGAACGCTTGCGAACGAACACAGTTTTGCAGGTAAAATTACCTGCGAATGTTTGTTCTTTCGCAAACGTTCGCTTTGGTTTCTAACATGGTTTCGCGCAAATTACAATTCGAATGTTGTATGAAATCGTATTTTAATTTTGATTTGATTTTATTACGAATACAGTCGAATGAGCAAATTACATTCTGAATTGTAATTGCTTGTGTTGTGTGAATAGGCAATCAATCTGAACGAAAACCTAAATTGTAGCTGTTTACAAAAAATTTTTCCATAGAAAACCAAAAAACCTTAGTTTTTCATTAATCAACTGTTGTTTTTTTTACTACCATACTCAATGTGTGATGCACTTGCAATCTGTGTTAAAGCATAAATACTACTAATAATTAGTATTTTAAGTAATTCCTCTAACTGGAACTGAATGCTTTTTTATTTTAATTAATTAAATAAACATAACAAATGTTGTATATAAATTGTTTATTTACACTCTCTTATTCCTTCTTCTTGTTGTTCATGCGAAATGTCAAATATTTACAAAACAATAACATAGCATTGCCAAGTCAATAAAATGAAAATGCAAAGTTATAAATTAAATATATTGAAATTACATTATTGATGATGCCACATTGATGTCTTTCAAGTGCTACATTAACTTAAATCATAACCTTATTTTCTTATTGTTTTTATCGAAACATGAATTTATAATTGACATAGAAGTATTTATTAAGTCAGTATTTACTAAACCAATTGACTTAAAAAAAGTGAGTACTTATCCTGCACATCTTTACATGGGGTTTGTGTATAGCAAATATAAATTAGCCTAATACGTTTCACAAGATTAACCTGAAACTGAGTTTATTGTGAAAGTCTAAAAATACTATAATATGTAATTGTTTTTGTGATGCTATTATGTTGCGATTCTTTGTACGAATTTTGCATGCAAAATTACACTAAACAACTGATGATGGGTATGTTGACAATACTCGCAACAGCTGTATGGTCAGCCAAAAATTTAAGTAATTAACATAATATAAAAAAAAGAATTTTTGTTGTAGTTCACTACTTTTCGAAACCTATACACTACAATTATATTATAATAATATTTCATGTGTATATTTTACTATGTTACGTATGTTACATGTATAATGTCCATGAGTTATGTCCCAAAATACTTACATTGCTACTAAAATTAAAATGAAGCATTTGGACATGGCAATACCACATATCTTGATCTGCGTAAAAACGAGGAGCAAAGATTAGTTGAATATTTGTTATATGCAATAATTAAAACAAAGTATAAATAGTCCAAATAGATTCACTTTTGTTCATTTCGCATTAGCAATATTTTTTCTATTAGAAAATAAAAAAGTAATGTGAATATATAATATAAAATAGATAAAAATATATCAAATGTGTTTTAAGAGTACAATTGGCGAATATGTTAAATTTTGTACTCAGTAATATGCTTATAGAAATTAAATAACTCGTAAAGTCTAACAAATAGAATAAGTAAATTGTTCAGATGCAATAACTTAACTCAGTCACATATGAAAATGCAACTTTATTATTTTTATTGAGTGAGTGACTGGATATGGGCGCTAAACCTATATACACCTATATAAATCAGTGTAATTTCAAATTACTATTTCGGATGTTTCTCATTTGTAGTATTGAAAAATATAACTCGATACACTATTGAATCTGAACTAAATGGAGGACAAACGTATTGCCGATTACTTTGTTGTGGCAGGTATGCCGGAAAATCCACAGTTATTACAGGAGAGTATTTTTAACGATTCAAGTCACCTGCGCGCCGCCAATACAATCGAACCCATTACAGATATTGGTGTATATTTTCCTTTATTAGGAGAAGAAATACCAGAAGGTTACCAAGTTCTAGATAGCACACCAAGCGGTTTACCAGCGAACTTAAATTATGGATCTATGCGGGCGACTGAATGCTATATATTTTATCGACGTGGAAAAGACAAACCACCTCTCGTCGACATTGGTCAGAAATACAAATCCAAATACAAATAAAAATTTTTATTAAGATTTAATTGTTTTGTATTGTAATTTTCAGGTGTACTTTATGAAGGTCACGAACGTATTATGTCTGATGCAGAAATTGTAGGCGAAACACCTGGAAAGCGAGTTGCGAATGTTAATAACTCATCAGCTAAAACATTTTTAACATATCGACGTGCTAAATCTGATATGCCATGTAATGAATTGGTTGTTACAGATTTATGTGTTATTATACATAGTAAAGGTGAAAAACCACCTCATGCTTTTTGTCTAATATATAAGACATTAAACAAGGGCTATATGGGAAGCGATGTCTATTTATGTTATAAAAAATCTATGTACCGTCCGAAACTAATTAGTTATCAGCCCGAAATTTTATTACGATATCCAACTTGTGATCGAAAAGACTTTCCCTTAAACTTATGCCCAAGTGTACCTTTGTTTTGCTTACCAATGGGAGCATCTCTTGAAGCCTGGCCTTATGTAGAGCAAGATCAAAAGCGAAAACCTATAAGTCCCGTATTTAGTACTTTTGTATTAACCGTTAATGATGGTACATATAAAGTATATGGCTCAGCTCTAACATTCTATGAAGACTTTGAGTAATCAGTTTAAATTTGTTTATACCCCATTAGTGTTTAATATTTTATTTATAGTGCAATGAACCTTAATGAACAACAACGGGAGTTATTAGAATGGGATGATGAATTTGCGAAAAATCATTCTCTTCATATAAATAAAGCTATTTGTATTTTATCTCATCATCCATTTGGAGATACGTTTGATAAGTGGTTGAAATATTTACACGTGAGTTTAATATTTTTTTATATTATCTAATACACAACTTAGATATATGAATTTTATAAATAGAGAATGGTTGTCTTTGGTGTTGATCTTCCCATACCAATAGAACGTTACATAACCCAATTACTTGATGAAGTTCCGTTTCCATCACCAAGTATTCATCTACAGGTATTGTTTTTTATTTAGTTATATAGTTATATTGGTTAGGATCTGACGTCAAATATATTTCTTTAAAAGCTGTCAAGTGAATCTAATGAACGTGTTTTGCTTACTCAACCGGAGGATTCTCCTTTACCAAGAAGTGGCGCTGGTTTTCATATGTTTCTTCAAAACTTAGGCACTGAGAATTGTTTACATGTTTTGCTTTTAGCTCTTACCGAACAGAAAATACTGATACATTCTTTAAGGTTAGTTTAAAAGAATAATAAAAATTTTTGAACTGGTTATAATTTCTATTTAAATTTTATTTTAGACCAGCAACATTAACTGCTGTGGCTGAAGCAATAGTTTCACTACTATTTCCATTTAAATGGCAATGTCCATACATTCCTTTGTGTCCATTAGGTTTAGCAGAGGTACTTCATGCTCCATTACCATACTTGATAGGTGTGGACTCTCGTTTTTTTGATCTCTACGACCCACCAATGGATGTGACTTGTATTGATTTGGACACAAATACAATAAGTGTATGATATGCATATATATTATCATAAAATATGTAAAAAAACATAATCTTTTTTCAACTACTTCTAGCTCTGTGAGTCCCAAAAACATCTAAATATTAAATTGTTACCAAAACGAGCCGCACGGTTTCTCAAACAGACTCTAAATGATCTAGAAGACATCAAACAGCATAACGTTGACTCCAATAATAGTCTTGATCGGGATTTACGTAAACGAAAACGAGAGGTAATCGTAAATCTTTATTTTTTTATTTTAATTGATTACTTGTATTTTTACAGCAAAATTTGGAGCAGCGAATTCAAGAAGCTTTTTTGTTATTTATGGCATCTATATTGCGTGGATATCGTGATTATTTAGTACCAATATCAAAAGCACCTTCTGTTGGAGCAACTGATCCCAGTGCTTTATTTCAACTAAAAGCATTTTTACGTTCAAGAGATAAGGTTATTCTTTTACATTATTTGTAACATACTAATTAACTAATGCGATTAACATTTGTACATTAGGCTCATCATAAATTCTTTGAGTTACTTATGAAAACACAAATGTTCATACGTTTTATAGAAGAGCGATCTTTTGTATCTGATGGTGACCATGGTTTGACATTCTTTGATGAATGCATGGAGAGAATTAGCTCTTATGATGAGACTCCGCCCGATTTACGTCTAGTCGATTGGGAAATAGGACATAACAGTGAAAGAACCAAGTATATTTTTCCTCCCGATAATGGTGGATTAAATAAAGGTATATTAATGAGATGATTATATTTAAATGTAAGGATTAATTTTTTTAATTATAGATTATATAGATAGTTCATATAACTATAGAAATTTTACACTTAATGCGAATTTGCTTAAATCATCAAAGAAAACTGCATTCACAAATTTTATGCAACAACAACAAAATGGATCACCTGGATCTCCGATAGCTCGCCGAACAAAGCATGAAATAAAATTGTCTCAAAAAATGGCAAGACGATGTCAAATGCAACCTGAGGCTTGGTCCAAACATTTACTTGCGACATGTTATTCGTTGTACTTTTTAATACTGCCTTCTATGGTTATAGATAATAGACAAGTAGGTAAAGAGCATGACGTTTTAAGACAAGCATACGATATGCTAGTATTTGCAAATAAAATAAAAATTAATATTGATGAGTTTTGCTATCGCATTATGATGCAATTATGCGGAATACATAATTACCCTGTTTTAGCTGTACGTTTGCACTACCTAATGAAACGATCTGGTGTACAGCCAAATGCATTAACTTATGGCTTTTATAATCGTTGCGTTCTGGAATCAAAATGGCCAAGCGACAAAACGTCTCTTAGTCAGTTGCGATGGAATCGAATTAAAAATGTAGTGTTAGGTGCGGCACTTTTTCGGCATGCTGGTAAACAACATGCTTCGAAAAAACCATTGTCAACGTCATATGAAAATAATTTATGCACATTAGAATCAGTTGATGGCACATCACGTACGAGCTTAGATTCTTCCCATTCGACTCATCTTGAACGAGTATATGGCAGTGGTGATGGTCAAAACTCATTACTTGATTTTGCAGCTTTTGATAAGTTACGTATAAAGCTAGGAAGTATAGTTCGTCAAACAGTACCAATAGTTTCTCAGGACTCTACAAGTGACGTAGTAAGTAGTGCCGGACTATTAATATATGGTGATGTTAAAGCGAATCCCACTTCTGATGTTCTGACTTCGGCGGGTGTCAATAAGACGGGTTTGGTTTCACATGCTTCCGCAAGTACGCATAATGCAAATAACGAATTGAATTCAAAGAGCAAAAATGTGTTGTCTAAGCGAGAGAGTTTTGCAGGAGATGCCCAATTATTAAACAAGCTACAGTCTAACAAGTCTTTAATTGAATCTGAACGTTTTAAAATTTTACATAATTACGAAAATATTAACGAAGAATCGCAGTTGGAAGATAAAGACAAAGAAGTTGCGAGTTCACAAGAAGAACTTGATTACGAATTACGGGAACACCTATGTAAAAGAAACATTCAAAGTCCCACAAAGTACAAATTAAAAATATTTTGTTTACATTATTTAATCTTTATAAATTTTTAGAATTTCACCTCGGACACCAGTAACACATAACGATCCACTAGGTGCTTTCAGCGAGGATACGAATATTGAAGATAATTCGAAAACTGGTCACTTGGAAGCTAAACAGCACTCTGAGTCTAGTACACGACCTCCAAGCAATAACATTTATAGTGATAAGCCAATTCTTTTTAAAGGACAACGTAGCGCGACTTTTGATGAATCAACACAGTTAAATAAAAGCATGCAACGATCAGAAACGATGCCTGGTTCAAGTGTTACATCTAGTTTGGCAAATTTTAGTTCTTCTTTCAAATTTAATTTTGGGTAATTATATAAGAAATTAGTGTAATTGCTGATATTCCTTTCAAGCGTCAAATGTTTTTCAATTGTGTATGTAACAACCTTAAAAGTATATCCTTCATTGTTAAAATATTTACATCCTGAAGTGTATGAGATAACCCGTGTTCTAACTTAAGTCAGTTTGTTTTTAATAATTATAATTAAATATATTTTCGTAGACGTTTTTCACCTGCACGAATGTCATTAAAGAAAGACTTGAAATTGCCCACCAATATAATAGAAAATATATCTCAAATGAGGTAAGTTTTGAATAAGACCTTATTCAGTTGATAGTTCTACATATATTTTATTGCAATAAGGTTCATGCTCATGGTGATGGTTAATAAATTCATTTTTATTTATTTTATTAATCCAAATAATCATTTTCAACAAATAATGATATGCAATGGGTGTGAAGTATCCTACCTCAATATTTAAACAAACGGGTGTTTACACTCGAATTTTAATAAAAAAAACTTCAATGCTGCAATATAACCCACAAAATTTAGAAATTTTCATTGAATTCAAATATTTTTTTTATCTGTAACATTAATAAATTTATCTCTTATGTGTGTGTTTGAAGCTTAATGAAACTTTAAAATGTTTATCATTATCTCTTCCAAAACAAATCGTTAAAGTCAAGTCTTAGTCATTATTTTAAAAATTTGTTCTGTTGTTTTTGATATTCGTCTTTTTATTGATTTATATACAAAGTCATTGCTATATTAATTCGAATCTAAATAATAATATATGTTATCGTGAAACAAAACTTTCTGATGAATAAGGTTTATATAAATATGATTTAAGTTTATTTTAGGAGTGTTTTTATAAGTGTGGTTTAGGTTTTTAAATATTTATATATATGTGTATCTAGTAATTGAATATTTATATTTAACTTTATTTGGATCTACCCTATCGCCGACTAATATGTGAGAGATTTTGCATATAAAGACAACATAAAAAGAACAAAAATTTTTAAATATAATTTTTGATTCTTGTATTTGCAGTCCGAGCTTAAATAGCAAGAAATCGAATGAAATTATTCAAGGGAGTTTAAGTAGCATTAAATTTGCAGCAAGTTCAATCACTCGTAAAATTGATGAAATCAAAGGAGTTATATCTGCAAATTCCACTCCTATTAAATCAGGCAATTCGTCTTATATACAAGGTGATAGTAATGTAGCAGAAGAGGATACAATTATTCATGAAGATTTAGGTTCTAAATCACGTCGAAATACGAGTGATTTGGATCCTTGGGGTCGTTTAAGCGAATCTCGAAAATCAAGTTATAACAATCTTGTGCCATTAGGAGAAAACAGTTCAACGTTTAACCTAAGTGCTTTATCAATGCTACCTGAAAATCTTTATAGTTCCACAACAGATGTAAGTTTTGTATTTCATGAGATTGAATTTAATTATTTTTTTTTTTTTTGTTTTTAATTTTAGCGTTTGGACAGTCCAGAGTGTGATATTTTAATACAAATGACATCGTGCTCACAGTGCCACAATTGTTCGGTTTTACTTTACGACGAGGAAATAATGTCTGGATGGTCTGCAGAAGATTCGAACTTGAATACTACATGCCATGCTTGCAATAAGTTAACTGTACCTTTTCTGTATGTGCAATTAATAGTTGATGAATCATTGCAAGATGTAAAACAATCTGATAGGTTAACAATTCCATATTTAAACCCCTTAGTGCTACGCAAAGAGTTAGAAAATATCTTAAGACAAGATGGGGAACTTGTTTTAGTAAAACCGAACTTCGTAGAAGAGCATCCCATAATATATTGGAATTTACTTTGGATTATGGAACGAATAGAAAGTAAAACTCATTTGTCAGAATTGTGTTTACCTGCTACTGTGAGATACTTTTAATCTTTAAAATAGTAATAAAAACTATAACATAATTGTTTTAAAATTTTTCTAGAGTAAAGAAGACATAGACCCTCTAAGTAAAGTTAAAAAAGTGAGTATACAATGTTTGTGGGATAATTTACTTTTGCACAGTGAAGTGGGACCTCCAATGTACATTTTATATAATCAAAATCAGCCTACGAGTCCACTTTTAAAAGCCTTGCTTACCGATCAAGCGCAACTAAACAAGAAGTAAGCATAATGATTTGTTCATATTGATTATTTAATTTAAGGCTTCTGAATTTTAATTTAGTGTTATCCAGCAAATTATATCTACTATACGCTGCAATGATCTTCTAACTCCTGTGAAACGATTAGCAAACGAACGCCATAAGCTTAAAAATAATGGAATTGATCGCTCCCACTCAATATATCGTGACATATTATTTTTGGCATTAACAGCTATTGGTCGTTCAAATGTTGATCTTACCACATTCCATCGGGAATATGCTGCCGCTTTTGATAAACTTACTGAAAAAGAATGCAACATGTATTATAGGAATCAAGATTTGCCACCATCTACTACGACTATATTTTGTCGGGCATATTTCAAACCATTAATGCTTCCTTGACGAGAATTAACTATTTTCGCAAAAAGCAATGCTTTGAAAGCGAATTTTAAATGGCGTACTATCATGAATGGATGAAATATGCAAAACGTAAATCATTTAAAAGCGTTCGTTGTGGGTATATTTGTATTAATTTAGATATACTAAATGAAATTTTATTATATTGTATTTTAATTTAAGAATGGCAAAGCAATTAATATAATATTCAAATCTTTGATATTAACTATTCGAGCTATTGTTATATATTGTAAATATTTCAATCACATCTAAAACAATACTTATCGTTAAATACGACTAATTGTTTCAAAAGAGTTTTAAAGCCTTAATTCAATTAGTTTTGCATTAAAAATGTAATACAATTTATTTTGACATAGTTAAGTTTTAAAAATTGACTAATTCATTGACTGGTTTCGAGACAATATTTTTATTCATCATCCAGATAGTAGAGCGACGTTATAATTTCTTTGCCTTATTATATTTAATATATTTTATTTAGGAAATTAATTTTTAAAATTATTTAATAGTTGCAACTTGTATTCAAGCATAAAATAATTCTAATAAATAAAGCACGATTACCGCAACAAATAATTTAATTATTCAGTTATTTAGCAAGAGACAGCTTTTAAATAAAAAATTTCGTTTTGTTTCGCTATATCAATATATCGACTCTGATGAAACTATACATATAGGATTGATTTCAACGTGAGAAATTAAATAAAATATTAAACATTTTAAAATTTTCAAATTAAAAAATGTAATGTATGAAAATGTAAATGTATTTAATTGAGACCTCACCGAACGATACTTGGAAACTCACAGCAAACGTTTCCTCCATTTGTCTTAATATAAGCTTCTGCAGTACGCATCATTAATATTATGGTAATATTTCAGGTACTAAGTATTAACGTTAGCTACAGTGTAGCTTCAGAAAGTAGAAATTGTTCTCTAATTTGGCCTATGAAATCAAACGTTTTTTATATACCCTAGACCATTCTCATTTATATTTTGGCAAATTTTCCATTTATAGAAATAAATCTTAAGCCTATAATACCAGTAAAGCTATCTGTTCTTGAAAAAGATTTTTAATAAATCTAGAAACCCAGAAAGATTTGTATATTCAAATGCAACACAGATCGTTACAGATATTTATTTTTAGTTAAACAAATATTTTTTTTCAAATATTTGAATAAATTTTTCTTTTTATTGTAAAATTTGATTGTAATGAAAATAAACTACATAAAATTCTAACAAATAATTAAATTGATTGTGATTAGTACATGTCAAAAATAGACGATCTTAAAATAAATATAAACCTGTTATTTTAATGAAAATCATTTATATATGTAGTGTATGGAATAAAAAATGACTTGTACCCACATTAAAAGTCATTAGAATATACCAAAATAGTGTTGAAATGTAATGGTAATTATATCGCTAAATATCAATTAATCCAATACTATTATGTCTTCCGAACAGTTTCCTACAGCTTCATTCGATTTTGAAAACTTTTTATCTAAATTGTTTTGAATAAATTGACTTATAAGAGCATTTTTCTTATTAACAGGAAAATGATGACCTCGCGGTACAGACATTAGAAGTGGTACGCGTTTCTTTTTCAAGCCATCAATGGGGTTTGTTTTCGCGTTTGTTTCAGCAATAGCTTGTGTTGAAGACCCACTATCATTATTTACATTCGGATCTTCGGTAAATGTGTTTTCAATTTCTGATTGTTTTTCTTTCTTTTGATTAGCTAGTGATTTTGTAAATTTTTTTATACCAGCGTCTGATTTATTAAAACAATTTAAAGCACTTTTGTTTTCGGTTTTCTCCTCCGCCTTACTGGCTTCCGATGTATTTTTATAAACATCGTCTACATTTTCCCCATCAGTCGTAAATTGATCATCTTTTAACACAAATCTCGGTTGTAAATTGTATTCCCATTTATTGTGCAAATCTAAATGATTTAATCCCATTTTATTCAGAATGTCGTCAGAAACAATCCAACATAATCTTTTCTTAATTTTGTTTTTTTTTTTACTTTTCATTTCAGTTATCTTCCATTCCGCAAATTCATCTATTTTATCACGTATGGTAGATTTTAGAGGTCCCTTTACGTCGCCATTCTTAACAGATTCTTCGGTTGCTTCAACATAAGCAATAAATTCTTTAATAAGAAAGACTTTGGAATGACTGTTTCCATGCACTAATCTAACTAAATCATTTTGCAGCTTTTCAGTCAAAATAAGCGGTTTTAACTTATCTCCCGTTTTTTCTAAATTTTGAGTACTAGGAGAGCTAGGTTCATTTTTTTCTGAAATTTCTGGTTCATTTATCATTATCTTGCTCGTATATAGCATTGAACCCATTCCTAAAGTGTCCCAAATTATTTTTGGACATTGATCTGGCTGGTTACCGTTTTCGTCCACCCATATGCATCCTATTAAACGCGGTTTAATTTTTTCAGTTTTTTTTTTCATTTCTTGCGCAAATTGCTGCTGAAGGATTTTTAATTTTGCTTTTTGAGCTTCTCTATTATTTATGTTATCCTCTCCAATGGGTTTATCATCCTCGGTTTGCAATTCTTCTTCACTTAGATGACCATGAGGCACAAACCATTCATTGTCTACTTCATAATCATCGTCCTCGGACTCCTTTTCTTTATCGTCATCGCTACCATCTAAAGATTCACCAGGTTCTTCTTCTTCCCACTCCAAATCTGAATCGATATCATAGTCGAAAAAGTTCTATAAAATAGATTATATAATTAAAATGTTTGTTTAAATGATTTACTTTATCATACTGTATCTTTAGCAAACGGATTTTTTGGTCTTATAACAGTACTACGTTTTCTCCATGTGCCGTGATAAGGTGGTCTACGATTTTCAGAAAATTTAAAAAACTTTGTGCGAAAACGGTCAATTGGACCATGAGTTTCTTCAACAAGTTCTTGACCAGCCAGTTCAAAGTCATCTTAAAGGTATTGCTGCATATAAGTAAGTTAAAACCAAATTTAAATACTTACCTACAATATAGATTTCATCATCTATGTCAGTTTTTGTTTCAACAGTGGACGGTCTCCACTTGCCTGGAATTATTGTTCCATTTTTTAAATCGTCAATGTAAAGCTTTGATATTGGTTGTGCGCATTTTAGGCACTCATCTAAATTTGAATGGGCCTCTTTGGTAAAATCTCTTCGCAGGACTGGTGCAAGTTTCATATCATTCCGTATTTGAAATGGACGAAATGCTAAACTACATGCGCTTTCATCACAATTGTTTGGTGGTATTTGCTCAAGTTTTGCATTTAAAATATTTCTTTTTGGAACAAAGAATTTAGTAAACGCTTCAGCCGCTTTCTTCTTTTTTAAATCTGCATCTTCCTTTTCTTGTTCCCTCCGTCTACGGTCCTCGTCCTTTTTACGTTGTTCCTCTTCCTTGGCTTCAACACGCTTACGTTTTTCTTCGTTTTTAATTTCGATATCGGCTAGGCGTTTTCGTTCCTTTTCTTCCCGATCTTTTCGTTTTTGTTCATCTTTTTCTTCACGTTCTTTACGCTTTTGGTTCTCTTTCTCATCACGTTCACGTTTCCTTGCCAATTCTTTATCTTCTTTTTCTTTTTGTTTTTGCAACTTCATTTCATTTAATTTGTGCTCTTTTTCTTCTCGTAATCTTCGACGTTGCTCATCGATCTTTAATTGTTTGGGAGTTAAGTTATTTTTATTTACTTGTTTAATTTTTTTAGATGTATTCATTTTTTCTGATAAATTTTTACTTGATTTTTTTGACCGAGAACTTAAATCATTTGAACTTATTGAACCATCTGCACAATCATCTTCATGTGTGTTCTCACTGTCAATATCAGAAATCGAAATCACTTCCAGATTAGATTCATTTGATGTTTTTAATGGGGTTTCATCTTTCAATTTTGTTGGTGTACTCGTTTTTGTATCATGTACATCCATCTAGGAATAAAAATTTATTTATATGAATTTATTTAGATATCTTTTTTGCATTAAATAATTATTTACTTGATCTTGTTTTTGACGTTTTTGTGGATTACATTTTTCAGCTATAATTTCCATATCATCACTCAATGTTGGTTCCTCAGCATCTGATTTCTCCAGTGATAACTTGCTTCTTTTGATTTTCGTAGAACTTAATGGAAGTTTTATTTTTACTAAGTTTTTTTTTGATTTGTCAGCGCTCTGTGGTGTTCTAGCACCCTTTAGCTTTGATTTTGTATTATTTGATTTATCTGACGTAATTGAAATATGAGAACTGCTGAAAATCTTTTTGTTATCACAATCTTCAATTTCATCTATTAAAACAATACTATCTTCCACAACTACATCAGATTTTCTCTTTTTATTGTTGGTTGAATTTTCTTTACTAACAGACCGACGTTTCGTGACATTTTCTCTGTGTTCTTCATCAGAATATGATAACTTACGCTTCCGCGAATCGTTTACAATTTCATGTTCATTAGCATGAGGCGGATTTTTAGATTCAGTAGTTATTTCACTAGTACTCACTGACGGTGCAGGTGGAATTATTTTAAACGGCAGCCTGGCTTGAACCATCTTTTTTCCACTAGTTGGTTTATCATCATCATCTTTTAAGTTTGACATATTGCTTTAAAATTATTAAATTTTTTAAACACAATAGAAACGTTCCGATCTTGCAAAACTCGTTTCTTATGAACACAAATTTCCTGAAAACAATAAAAATGTTTCGATTCGCGAAACTTTATTTCCCACAAATATTATACTCCTAATGTCAAACGATAAAAAAAGCGCCAAATCAAAATAAGACACACATCACAAGTATTGCCATCTTAAACAATTTTTGTTTTGCTTCTTGCCAAAGAATAATATATAAGTGACATTAATATGTATATATAAATTCTTAATTGCTTTTTTTTTCGGAAGAAATTATGAAGTAAGAGATATTCTAAAATCCCAATACTATCTTTATATACTTCAATTTTATTGACAATTTTGTTATATACAAGTTTATTTTTTAAAAACACAAAATTTTTCGAATTTACACATCTACGGTCTGTCATCAGTTAAAAGATAAATAAATGATAATAATTCTAGTATAGTTTCAACTTTTACAAATTACATTTTGCATTAATATAAATGAATAAAAAAAATTAAAAATTAAAATGAATAGTGAATTTAAAGCAATCTTATGAATGCAGGAAAATTGAAAAATTTTTTTCACAACAAAATTAATAATAGTTTACAAAATTTATGCATTAATAAGTATTAACATAACAACTATTGTCAAAATATTCAAAAGTGCTTTTCAATAGTACTTCTAAAAGTTCTTGTATATATTTATGTGTATATTTTCCACAATTTTGCATATTTTTAAAATATTTTATTTCCACATAATTCAAATTTGTGAAACTTTTTAAGTTTGTTTATTTTTTCGTTTACAAGTTTTTGACATATGACTGGAATATTCGTTGAAAATTCTAATGAACGTTCACAATAGACCATTCATTGCTTTGGTGACATTTTTTTCTGCAGTAGCTTAAATGTTGCGTCACTTCACAACTAGGTGGTTACATATAAAAAGTAGTGTTGTTGTTATGTGTACAAATTAGTAACTTTAAACGAGCAACTTGTTGTTTTTTGCCACGCTTAAAAGCGGCCGAATGCATCTATTGGATTATATTATATGATTTATATATTTTTATATAAAATATAGTTTGTAAGAAAATAAAAAAGACATCAATAAAAAACAGAGATATATAAACATATTAAAGTAATACATAAAATATATTATGGACAAATAAAAACCAAAAATAATCCACAAAAACAAACCATTGAAATTTATAATTATACGAGCTATATAGAGTTTGCAAAACAAAATAAATTAAAAATTTTAGGAAGTATAGTTTAACAAGCGTACAAATTTTACAAGTTCTGGGACAAGTTTCATAAAAAAGTGCATTCGCCTGAGATGAATATTCCAATAGAAAGTATATCACATAAAATTAACATGTAATACAAACACAGAGTTCTCAAAAATAAGTCCACATCCGTAAAGAACAAGCGAATCATATTATAATAGTTGTATATTTGGAAACTGATCTATTGTGAATGACTTTATTATTTATTATCTATAATTGTTCTGGTTAAAATAAAATAATTTTTTTGCACCCGAAAATTCTTTACAGCTGTTTCTTATTGCAGTTCGATAAAAGCAGTCCAAAAATGATAGACCGTTATTGATAGCGGTTAAATAAATTGTTACATTCACAGAAGCAACAAATATACATATTTTCAATTTGACTTTAATGTTATGACTGTAATAGCATTACAGGAAGTTAAATCAAATAAAATTGTATAAAGAAACAAACAAATCATCATTTCCATTTCAATATCAGTTTATATTGATTGATTTATCTTGTAATATTTTCTGTCATTCATTTTATATATTTAGCAATAAAATACGTTATAAAATTTTTTACAAAAATTTTTCATAACTATATGCAAATATTTGATTAGTGATACCAAGTTAATTAATACACTTAAGATGTTCTATTAGAGCCGCCTATACGAACTTACGGCAGGCAGAGAAAAATGTTGGCATTTATATTTAATTTTTCGGTTTAAAGAGTTTAAAGAGCTCTGGTTTATTAATAAACAATTGAATGCCATTTATGTAATTCTTATTTTTTGATGATTTAGGTGTGATTCATTTCTTGTAATTCATTTGATTCTTTTGTATCTGGATACGCTGGCCAGGTGTCGTCTTCGTCGTCTTTGAACTTAAAAAGATATACTCTGAAGCAGGCGTGTCTAGTTAGCAGCTGGGTTAGGAACTAGTTCACTTGGCCATTCTTTCTTTTGGTCTAATCATTTATTTTCGGTATGAGTTTATGTATCCTTCTTCCTTTCTTGGATGTGTTCCAAATCTATTGCCACTTAGTCAATGCTTCATCATTGAGCTAGTTGTAGTTCGTGGGCCGAGTTATTTTAGCCGCATGTTCTTCCTTTTCAACTTCTGCTTTCTACTGTAACGGCATCATTGCGGCAATAACCATAGTCACTTCAGTAAGTGGAAATAAGTGGAAAGTGGAAACAATTCTAAGCGCAAACCTCCTGTAGGCTACGTCTACTTCTAATCTGTATGTCTTTTTATTTATTGTATTTACCCACATTGTTAATAACTGCTACTTCTGTTGCCAAACTTTATTTTCGCACATGTTTTAGCAACATATTGGAGATATTCTTTGAGGTTTCTAAACAGTGTAAAAATTCCAGTTGTTAATTCTGCGAAATATCTGGATAGAAACCTAGATGCCCAACTGAGATGGAAGGTACACGTCAAGAAAAAACTAACTGAGTTAAATATTAGATATAAAAAACCAACATTTTGATATACAAACAAATCTTCCAGCCTATATGGCTCTATGCCGTCCACATTTGGGGTTTTGCAAAAAAACATATAATAACGTTCCGTTGTATGTTCAAAATGCTTATCTATATCGTGGCCTTGAAATACCTAATGTCAAGCAAGAAATACAGAAGGCTGAAATACATTATGACAGGCTGAGTAAACACTTAAACACTTCTATTCCGACAATACTTTGAGATGTTACAGCCAGACGCCTAAGTCCCTTGAAAACAAAGGACCTTTTGAGGTTTCAATCAGCAAGGAGGTGACTAGCTCAGATCTATATGCTCAGTTTAGATAATTACTTGCATAATATAAAATTAAAAAACCTCTTGATACTCAATATGAATAGCTGTTGTTAATTTAAACTTTGCACTTTGTTTAAATATAATAAAAAAAAATATTGGATGTGCTCTTTGAAGGTAAGTCTGTTGTCAATCATTATTCGAAGGTACTTGATCGCATGTTTTGACGTAACTCGCTCATTGCCAATAGTTATTGTAATGAATTCGATCTTTTTCCTACTGCTTACAAGAAGGACTTGAGTTTTATGGTCAGTAAGTTTGAAGCCTGTGCCAGTGATCCAAATCCTTACCATAGCTTATCTATACCATATTATGGTATGTTATTTTTATTTTTTCTATATATTTAACTCTAACCACTAGGGCGATGTCATCAGCGAAACCAATTATTTTTGATTTCTTATATATATGCATAACCCACTACATCTACAATCTGTTATTTTTTATTTGTAGAACAGTGCGTCTAGTGTACTTTAATATTTATTCAATATCTAACAAATTTTCAAAACAAATTTTAATTCCATCGGGATCGAATATTTCAAAGTAATACTGTTTTTAGTCAAAACAGAAACTGCAAAATCGGCGATGCGTATAACCGAAGTTAATAACAAATCCATTAAACAGCTAAACAACGCTGATGTTATTATTTTTTTTTCAGACCACCTCCCAATATGAAATCAGAGATGTTTTTAGACGTCTCTGACCTGTTGTTGCTGCATGACGAACAGAGCATGCTGTCAAGTAGTTATAATGAATAGTTGGGATTCGAGCTTGTAATCCCCCACACCACCAAATCAATGATAGACATAATAGCTGGCATGTGCTTCGTAAAGTAATTGTGGTGTAAATTCATTTCGATTTGTTATTCACTTGCTCAAAGCACATAAAGCACTCGACTTCAAAAACTCGAACTGATTAAGGGAACTCACTGGCAATGAGCAAAAAGTATTAAATTACATTGAATGTTAAGAATGCGGCAGTGCGGCAGAGTGGCAGTGTGGCAGTGCGGTCGGAGTGCTATGAGTAGTGCAGTGTTGAGGTATATTTGCGGCTTCCATGTCTCTTGCGATTTCACTTTGCAATTATTATCTATTTTGATTTAAGTTAAGCTCAGCTAAAAGGCATTTCCCGTAGGATTCGTAAAATTCATTACATTTTTTCTGTTCTCATTCTTTGTGTTTTACTTGCTCAATATTTCGTTTTAGTATTCTTTTTGACAATATTTTGGGGACGGTCATTAAAATTGTAGCGATTTTGTTTCGGATGTTCTGAGTCGCAAACGATTGTTGCTCACAACTAATTTACTACAAATTGACACATATTCATATGCAGACTCCATTCAAAAGTCTTTTTGGCCTTCGGTATTCATGTTATTTATTAAATACGTCAAAGAGACAATAATGCTTTCTTCTCTTTTCCTGCCGTTTTCTTTTTATCAATTTTTATTTCGTAGAATTACAATTTCCCACACTTTTTAAGCGTTCCAGAATCAAAACAAAGTTAAATTTCAAAATGCACATGCCTACGCATTGAGGAAGTATACCAGAAGAACATGTGAATACAATGGATCAAAAATTCAATTTTTTTCAATGAGATTAGAAAAGTAACTTCAACATTGCACTTGCTTACCTGAGCCACAATCAGCAGACTCATTTCTTTGTTATATTCCTTTGAACGAAACCAGAGCTGTCCAACTGTTCAACTGTTCAACTGTTGTGTGCGTCATTATAATTATAAATATATAATTAATTAAATTATTTTAATTTTTGATTGCTGTCTAATATGTGTTAATGTGTTCTGAATCACAATACTTCTGAAATACCATAATATTGCGACTATTAATTGCATTCCTATTTTGGTAACAGTTGCGTGCCTCAATATTGCCACTTCTGCTATTTTATAAGTAAAGTCTTGTTCCTTTAAAAAATTAGCTAATGTTTTCGATTTGTTTGTTAAGATTTTTCCTCAATTGTCACCTTTGCATAATGGAAGTTATATCAGAAATTGGTTGTGCTCGAATGCCCGAAGAGCACAGTTTTTTAATTCAATCAATTTTGGGCAATCTTTAATCGTTGTCATTGCAATTTATGTTTGAAATAGTGCAATTACATATTTCCTAGCAGAACAAAAAATTTCACAATATTTACCAGTCAATACGCGTAATAATTATAGCTTTAAGGCCGTGTGCGAGTTCGAGTAAATTGAAGGGAAATTGAGGGAAATAGTAAATAATGTCGGTATGACAGCGAATGTTGGTATTTACCATAATTTCGAATAGGGTAAATTAGTTAAACATCAGGTGAATAAGGTGTTACAATTGTGAAAATTTTATAAGATGTTTAATAAATAAATAAATAAATTTGAAAATTTTTAACCAAAAATAATAAATAAAAAATATATAGGAAATTTCAATTTACTTTACCTCAATTTACTCAAACTCGCACACGGCCTAAATAACTGTTTTAAGGTTCCAAATATTTGGATATTTTAGTGAGTTTTTAAAATTTTTATTCAAGTTTGTTGCTCGTGTAGAATAGATCAGAATCTAAAATAAAACAGACTAAGCATGAAACTAGCAAAATTCAAAAACTCAAACTTCTTTTCCTTTGACAGGAAGTATTCACTCTGCATTATAGGTATATGTATGTACACTGTACACACATAAATATATGCGGTTCATGTGAGTTTGCGCGCCTAATGGCTTCTGAGTTCGTTCAATAGATGTGATAGTGAGTTTACGGCTTGTCAACAGTTATTATCTGTTATTGATCTGTTTACATGAACTCAGCAAAATATCTTTTGTTGTATGAAAAACAATTTTATTAATATTGCACCATAAAATATTTGTTAAATTTACCGAAGTTTTCTTTTTTCAGATTATTAATTTTTACCTTTTGTCGAAGGCATTAAATTGGACAATTATTCTTGATTACCCAATCTAGCGATTGCGATGAGCAGTTTTGTTGGCTTTAATTAGTGACATGACTTTGCAGCGTTCGGATGGAAAGTATTTTATTTATATGTATAGACACCTTTTGTATGGAATCTACTTAATTCTGACTAATAATACTTCATTGTTATGTATATGTAAGTAAACGAAATATATTATCTATTAGAATATATACGGATATACAGGGTGTTTCTTTTCAAAATGACGTAGCCTTAGTAAGAGTTTCCGTGGTTAACGGTATGAGGTATGAGGTAAGTGGTATAAGTGTAAGTAGTCTTTTTAACGTTAGCATGTATATCTTCTGCTATCCTCATCTCCAATTCGCAGTTTACAGTTTGTAAAATTTTACATCTTAAAAACGAGATCTGAAAAGCTAGTTTTACCTCAATAAGTTTATAAATTTTTGTATACCAGTGCATTACTTTAATTTGACAACAAAGTACTTTACTTAACTTATTGTAAAGAAAGCTTATACTCGTAATATTTTCGGTTTTCATTTGGTGGTCACATAAAGGGTTGTAAGAGCAGATTCTTTTGCAATATCCTATATTCAGACTATTGGTGAACCTTTCATGTTCACTATTTTCTTTTTCTAAGTTGTTTATCCGCTTCAAGCGTTTGCTACCATGATTATTATTGTTAATTTGTTAATTTCTCAGCAGCTTGCGAAAAGCAGCCTTATCATTTTATTTAAAGTTATCATTAGAAATAAATTAAGAGGTCATAATGTAGTTCGTCAACCAGGGCCATATTTTCCCTTATTTCGTCCTTCAATGATTAACTTAGGCATACTGTATTTTTCTTGGTACCTTAGGATATGACCGAAATATTCCACATTTTGCAGCTTCACTGTTTCCAGCATCGCTCTTTCTTTGTTAACGCATAAAAGTAATATCAAATTTGTGACACACTCAATTCAATTGAGTTTTAGCTATGTCGATAACACCGCATTTGGAAGACTTCAAGTTTATGCATCGACGCAAAAGTCAGTGACTATGTTATATTTGTGCTTTATAAAGCAATGATGTTTATAAATATCCCATTCAACATAATTCTATTTATTGTATCAGTAAATATGTTAAATATTTTTGCCAAATAAATATTAAATAGCAACAATGACGAAATGCATCCTTGGCAAACCTCGTGCTTAATTTCTACGTCCTCTTTAATTGCCAGTATTAATTTACAATTATTAAAATATTTCTCTCGTGTGACGAATAGCTCCTTAAGCCCCTCTACAAATTTTTCGTTTCCCCGTAACAAAAACTTTTTAAAATTTATAAACATCTTGACAGACACAAGTTCCTGTAGTCCAAACAAATTATATACGGACTATAAACTAATTAAAAAGAATTACGAACATTTCTTAAGACTACTGATGATGAGTACTTGGCAATACTCGAAAGTGTGTTGTATGGTCAGCCAAATTTCAATAAATTAACTAATATTTTTGTTCTTGTCTTTTCTTTGCTATTCGAATCTGTCTAACTTTTAAACGGTTTCATTTCGTCATAAAGACGCGTCACTCTCGTGGGAGAAATTTAACAATAAAATTACATCTTTGTTAAACTCCGAAAGCCAAATTTAATGTTATTAATTCGGTCTCCCAACTTTTGATTACTTCCATCATGCATGAATCTGTGAAATATTTATGTTTCCTTGGAATCGTAACAAACTTAGATTGTATCTTGTAATAATTTTACTGATTCTGTTGCTATTTGATCAGCCTCAACTGTTTCACCCATTACTGCTTTATCTGTAGCTCTTTTAAATTTATCTGCAGATATTAGGTATATGTTGGCACCAATATCTTGTGATGTAGATGATTATTTTTGTTTACTTTCTGTAAATGCCGGTGATTTTATCGAAATATTTTGGTTTGACTTTTGATAGAGTTTAATCCATTTTAATGGTTTGCAATTGCAGCTTTTATAAATTCTTTCTTATCCATTTTTGACTTCTTATGTTTGTTTTTGTTTTTAATTGATTAAAATAATGCTTAGATAGTCGAATTTGTAGAACGAAAGCAGTGCTACGAGTAATTTAAAATCACTCTGGGGAAAACAGTGATTAGGAAAAGAATGTTTCAAATGCAACATTGTGCATACGGAGATTGTGTTCTATAGGTTTAAATCTACTTCGTTCTTAACAAAATGAATCAAATAGACTAAAAGTAGTTGAAAGGAGTCAGGAAGGAGTCAGGAAGGTAAAATAGATCAGCGTTAAAAACTATTGCTTTCTAAGCAACCGAGCGATTACAATCGACTTGCGTTCTAGTATCACCTCGCTGATGACTATAGCTTAAGCCTACATGTTTGAAATAGCACTATATCTGTATTGTGTTGTGGTGACGGAAAAATTAAACTGTTTCAAATTGGGGAACCGTCAGATGGTGTCCTTTGTCACTATAACACTATAACTATAACAGCTCACTCCGTGCTAACTATAGCCGAATTGGTAATTGTTGTAGTCAGATAACAGATTTATTTTAGAGGTATTTTTTTTTTCGATAAAATGATCAATTGATTATAGTTTTAGTGACGATGCTAACATGCCAAATGACTGGCACCGCATCAATCATTTTTTTGATATGATGCCGATGAATAGTAATTTAACGTTAAGATGATAAATCCAAAATTGGCAAGGGAACAAATAAACAAATAAGATAGGAAGCAGAATGAACTTTTATATATACCAAGTTATGGACAATATTATATTGCGTTTTCTAGAATAGAGAAACCAGACAATTTTTATATTTATGCAGTTGAAGATATTGTGTGCTCACAAGTATTATCAAATTAAAAATATTAGAAATGTGTGCTTTTGTTTTTTTCCTTTTTAGTTAACCAAACTAACAGCCGGAACAGCTAGTTTTAAAGAAAATGTATTAAGTATATCTAGCCAGTTATATCAATAGTCAGTCAATATTCGAGTTTTAGTCACATTATATTTTGAGTGGCTCTTATGCAGATAAAAATATACACATCTGTCTAGCATTCATCTCGAAAATTCTTCATAGTTAACCAGTCATTGACAAGTCAAATATATTGTTCGAATTTCCACAAATCACCTCTTATGGTTCGCTTGTTCCTTTTGGATTCACAGTGCCAAGTGTGCTCTACACAAGTGAAGTACATTCCAAATGAGCAATTGCTGCAACCCTTAAGAACTCTTTGCACTGGAAGTAGGTTTTTTACGTTCGTTTAAGCAAATATATGTTGAATTATTATTACTTTTTTTGTTTTTTTGTTCTCATTAACTCTGTATGAGTTTTATTTGTTACCCATCGCCACTGAGATGGGTAGAGGAGAGAGCTTAGCAAGTATGTTTGCTTACCTTTGTTGATGTGAGGGTGCGAGATGAGGCGGTTCCTGAAATTTCTTTTTTAATTCTAAATTACGCTGTATGTGGCCAAAGTTATTATTTTTTGATTGCTCAAGTCACCCACAATTGTATCCTTTGTCTCTTTCGCAATATTATGCTGTCTAGGGGGCATCGTTAAAATGCAATAAATCTCTGTGTCTTTTTGTTGACACTCGGACTGAAGGAGATATTTTAAAATATCGAAATAGGTGATATTTGCAGGGAACCAAATCTCAAGTGTCAAATAAATTTGATATTAGCAAGCGACATGCTATGAAGAGTTAAGAGAATACGAAAAGCAACATAATCATAATGCAATTTCCTGCTGGTCAATTAATTGGCAACCAACATATGGAACTTGAGAAGATACACTTGCAAGAGAAATATAAGTCATAAGCGTGTAGTTTTGTGTGCATTGGCATCAAAGATATATTTTCACATTTTTATAAAAAATATGTTTATTTTCCTATATGAACGCCTGCCCACTGAATAAAAAGTTACTGTTCCGAACGAAATGTCACTTGTCACATTAAAGTCTCACAGGCGACTGTACCAAAACGACAACGCTGAAATGCATTAACAAAGGCGTTCATATGGTTTTTAAAAGGAGTCAAATTTAAAGTAGAAGATTAAAATCAAAAACTGTCAATTAGAGCATTTCACTCTTCCCAAATTTTTTGTACGTTTGTGTATATGTCTAAACTATGCGCACACAAATGTACGATTTAAGCACCAAATTTAATCTTCTGTGCACGTCAGTTACCTATAAACACTGCATTGGAATTCAATGGCACATTTTTTATATATTTTCATTATTTACTTTAGTTTGTTTAAAGTTTTAAGTTACAAGCAATACCCACCCAAATCGTTTTTAATAGGTCTGACTTGGGAAATGCATCAACAAAGCGCATAGGTGTACTGAATCTATCATCAAAATTTTTGATTTAGAGATCCTCTTCTATCGCAGCATATCAGGCAAATTAAGAATCTTAAGCTGTTGCAAAATAATTTCCAATTTTCTTTTGTTGCGTATTATATTCAATTATATATCATCGATCCATTTTTTGTGGGGTCAGTCCTATATTGTCCCCACGAGTAAGCTGCCTTTGCAAGTTTTGTGTTGAGTTTTGTTGTCTATATTGAAAACATGACCTGTCTGTGATAATGCGTCTATCTGTATAACCTTGATGTGGTTTATTACTACGATTACGTTAAATCGCTGATAAAGTTAGACCATCTCAACACCAGTGTAACTCACTGATATGCTTGATATAGTTAGTTTTTTAATAACTTCGTTTAACTTATAATATTAACTTCAAAACAATATTGAATATAATTGCTACCAGATGCCCTGCTTTGTGTTAAATTTGATTTTAATTTCAACAGGCGCTAAGTCTTGCTTGGTATATATAAACATTGCTTGCCTTTTCAGTACTGCCACAGGTTTCATTAAAGTCTCTAAGTAGAGACTGGAGAACGAATCTGTTTTCGAGATAGTTTTTGTTATTTTGGCAATAATTAAAGGGAACCAGTTGTAAATATCCGTTTCTAAAATCCATATTAGTATAGTGTTCAAACTTCTACACCTATTATATTCATTTGTTTGGAATACAATTTGATCTTTGGTTCTCTATGAGTTGGAGACGACTACCGCATATGAATGCACACCGAGCTGTACGAGTTTTATCACAACATTAATATAATTCAGCGAAGATCCTCCATCCAAAAATGGTGTTTAAAGCAGTAGTTAACGTAAGAAGACATATAGGTAGACCGTGTCTTTGGTGGAGTGATCAAGTTGAGGGAGCA